ATCTATTAGTAGAAATGTTCATAATAAACCAGTCTACCCACATCTATTAGTAGAAATGTTTACGATATACCAGTCTTCCCACATCTATTAGAAAAAATGTTCACAATAAACCAGTCTTCCCACATCTATTAGTAGAAATGTTCACAATAAACCAGTCTTCCCATATCTATTAGTAGAAATGTTCACAATAAACCAGTCTTCCCATGTCTATTAGTAGAAATGTTCACGATATACCAGTACTACCATGTCTATTAGTAGAAATGTTTACGATATATCATCTATCATCTATCGAGTTAAATTGCTACCCCTAGACCATTGCCACAACTAGTGGATTTAGTTATTAGGATATGTTTTTACGCTCTCTACAGGTTTTACATTTTTTATAGTTTGTATCAAGAATTTGTTCCGCTGCACCGAAAAATATCTCAATGTTTTCACTCACCTGATGAATGTGATAATTGATTTTATCAGTTCAGAATTTGATAAATTTGTCCATCATTTTTTTTATTTTATTTTTGTCACCATCTTAACTTATAAATAAGATTTTAAAAATATGAATATAATACACAAAAAATGCAACAATTATATTTGACCAACTACAGCTGTTATTAGGACTATTTACATGATATATTCCCCACCCATAGTCCTTAGTCAAATTAAAGGTAATTAATTAATAATTTCAAAACTAATTAATCTCTGAATTAAAAATTAACTATAACATTTTGGCAAAATAAAGAACAAAAAATGACAAAACAAAACCACTTTGATTATATATATATATACATATGTACATATAATAATGATTACAGAAATACAAATTGGCGTAGTGTAAAATAAACTTCCTCAATCAGTAGATTTTACAGACATTAGTCTTCCAAAACTGCTTGAAATAACAGTGTAGACTTGAGATATTGAAATGTCATTGGTATTTCAACCTTATTGTAAATACCTTTTATGAGAAAATATTCTCCAAAGACACGACTTTCAGAATTTGAAAAAAAGACACAAAAGAAGGAAAAAAGAAAAACAACTGTTTATTAAAATCGATGACTAAATATAAGTAATAATTCTATAAATAAAATGAAATATACTAATACATATAGATATACTTTTGAAAATATTTTATGATTTATTCTCATAAAAAAACACATTTGGTGCAGTGAAAGCTGTTCTGTAATATGAATGACTTTAAAAGGCCTCCGATTCTAAATATCGCATGCATTAGTATGATTCTATTGTAAATTAGCGAGAGAAGTGTCCTCTGTAGAAAATGAAACTCAAGGTTAAGTATCAAGGGGACAACATTTCAATAGGTAATGCCCTAGGCCTGCAATCATTGAAAAGTCAATTATAAGGGTAATAAATAAGAAAACGATATCAGGATATGAGGAGTATGTTATAATCCTTTACTAAATTTGGAGTAGTATGTTATAATCCTTTACTCGTTTTTAAGGAGTTTGTTATAATCCTTTACTCGTTTTGGAGTAGTATGTTATAATCCTTTACTCTTTTTGGAGGAGTTTGTTATAATCCTTTACTCTTTTTGGAGGAGTATGTTATAATCCTTTACTAAATTTGGAGTAGTATGTTATAATCCTTTACTCGTTTTTAAGGAGTTTGTTATAATCCTTTACTCGTTTTGGAGTAGTATGTTATAATCCTTTACTCGTTTTTAAGGAGTATGTTATAATCCTTTACACATTTTTAAGAAGTATGTTATAATCCTTTACTCGTTTTGGAGTAGTATGTTATAATCCTTTACTCTTTTTTAAGGAGTATGTTATAATCCTTTACTCGTTTTGGAGGAGTATGTTATAATCCTTTACTCTTTTTGGAGGAGTATGGTATAATCCTTTACTCGTTTTTAAGGAGTATGTTATAATCCTTTTCTCGTTTTTAAGAAGTATGTTATAATCCTTTACTCGTTTTTAAGGAGTATGTTATAATCCTTTACTCGTTTAAGGAATTTGTTATAATCCTTTACTCGTTTTGGAGTAGTATGTTATAATCCTTTACTCATTTTGGAGTAGTATGTAATAATCATTTACTCATTTTTGAGTAGTATGTTATAATCTTTTACTCATTTTTAAGGAGTATGTTATAATCCATTACTTATTTAAGTAGTTTGTTTTAATCCTTTCCCCTTTTTTAAGAATTATGTTATAATCCTTTACTCATTTTGGAGTAGTATGTTATAATCCTTTACTCATTTTGGATTAGTTTGTTATAATCCTTTACTCGTTTTTAAGATGTATGTTATAATCCTTTACTCATTTTGGAGTAGTTTGTTATAATCCTTTACTCATTTTTAAGAAGTATGTTATAATCCTTTGCTCATTTTGGAGTAGTATGTTATAATCCTTTACTAATTTTTAAAGAGTATGTTATAATTCCGACCTAGTTCCGACCTAGTAACCGGATAGCGGTGTTCCGACCTAGTAACCGGTTCGCGGTGTTCCGACCTAGTAACCGGGTCGCGGTGTTCCGTCCTAGTAACCATTAAACCGTTGACAATCCAAGTTTTAAGTCTCGCTACCCTGCTACTCATGTTCTATTCAAACACATAATAATTGGAGGTTCTTATATAACGCTTTATCACATCCTAGTTCGTAGGTCGTCTCGAAGCGGTTCACAAATTATTATCCGTGGTTATAGGGCCTTTGAAACCAGTCAATACATTTCTCATCTCCCTGGGGAGCATACAGCCGGAGCTGCCATTTCGACGCTAACAGCTGGCATTCAACAATTCTAGCACTGCCAAGCCACGTACTCATTTACAGCTGAGTAGACTGGAACAAACGGAGGAAAGAATCTTGCTCAAAGTTACAACACATTGCCGTGCCGTGGCGCGAACCCGCAACCCTTCGGTCACGAGCCCGGCGTCCTACCTCTGGACTACCGTGCCTCCTAACATATTTTAACCTGTATTCCTCACTAAAAAGTAAGATGTCTCTTAGCTATATTTTTTTTCATCTAAATTTAATGAACACACGAAAGTGAAAAATGAATGAAACACACACAGGTGATTGCACATTTAAAGGTTTTAAATAGAATTATCACTAAAATCAAAACTGTGTAAAAACATGTAAAAAAGCATTTACTTGAAATAAACTTAAAACAATATTAATCAGTGTGTATTGAGCTCATAAAAAATGAACGGAAAATATCCGTTGTCAGGTGACATTCTGTCTCACTTATTATAGATTGTCTGATAGGATAAGATACGCTTTACTAAAGAATCAGACGTTCACATCGGTGTGGCTTAGTGGGTAAGGAACTTTGCAAAAAACTCTTTCAATTCACTGGCTTCCGGTCGTAGTTCGGGGGTAAATTCCCACGAACGTTTGATGATACGTTCCCAGTTTTCCGGGGGTTTGTGCAAGAGGGAAAATGATGGTCGCAGGCCCTGCCCTACTGCCTTTTCAAGTGTCCCAAAGAGCTGCTCTTGGATATGCTCTGCTGCGTCTACTCCGTACCACATCTCCCAAATAATGATAGCCAGACTGTAAATGTCAGCCTTCCGGTCGTAGATTCCTTTAGCATTGAGAACTTCTGGTGCCATGTACACGGGACTTCCGACAATACTTCCGGAGATTGACTTGGCTTCTTTAGTCAACCCGACGTCGGTAAGCTTGACAATATTTTTGCTATCAATCTGAAACGAACAGAAAAAATATTTATTAAATATCAGAGGATAACAATGGAAAACGCGCTAACTGAGCAATGTCATATATATATATATATATTACTAGGGTAACCATTAATAGTTCTAGTGCGAGGATACGGGGGAGATATGAAATAGATCAAATGCCATGTTTACCGTAACAAACAAACGTTATATCAAATACAGGCGACTTCTTGTTTTTATAAATACTTAAAACTTAATAATATATAATGTACAACATTTGGTATAGCTACAATAACGAACTCTGAAGCGCTTTACAGTACATATATATACAATTCAAATATCCGATCAGCTGTATCCATCAATACGATTTTCGAAAGAACAGCTTTATCTGGATGGTCAGCCATATGTCATATTTGCACATGCGTTTATGCGTGCGAATGTGCTGGAGATGTTATGGTTTTGTTTTGTGTCAGGACCGTATCTTCTTGTACACCTCACTTGAACGGCGCAGCGTAGACACTTGAGCACTCAACCCAGACCATTTTACAATAAGTCTCAGTTGTTAAAGTTGATAAATAAGTAAAGAAAACATCTCAAAAGTATATGAAATTGAACATAGTAACCGTTGTATTGTACGATAAAATATGTTGACATTTCGTATTTTTAGTGTTTTAAGAAACACTTTTCGTATTGCAGAGTTATCTGCTCTTGTGAGCAGATATTGATTGTTACGTCATTTGTTTGTGAGAGTAACGTCATAATGTTTTAAGAAAACGACGTAATTTTCTCACACATACTATTGATGTAGCAATCAATCCCTGCTCACAAGAGCAGATAACTCTGCAATACGTAAAGACGGAATACACAACAGTTATTCGAACCAAAAATCAATAAAGATAAGACAAAATATAAACAAATGAATGATTTACAAGGAGGCCTTTGGAAAAGAAGAAGGAGAATACATTTTGTACAACAGGGTGTTCCGGAAAGGTAATCATTGAATTCTTCACTTAGAATACTTACCAAAATGTTTTCTAATTTCAGGTCTCGATGAACGAATCCCTTTTGGTGAAAGTAGGAAACGCCATCGCAGATCTGAACGAAGTACGAAGACATTTTTTCAATGGCTTCCACCTGTTCTGAGTAGACAGGGCACTTCCCTGGGTTCGCGTACTCCCCGTCAATGAACAGGGACTTCAGAGTTTCCGTACAATACTCAAGTACCATCATCCAGTAGACCTTACTATGCTTTCCGGAGCCATCCATCCTCAGGACTGCCCCGTAGTAACGTACAACGTTGGGATGTTTCAGGTCTCTGTGTAAAACATTTGAATTAACGTTAATACGAATTTGTATTTTTATACGTCCTCTGTATAAATGAAGTTTATCTGTTAAGGATTTATTTGAGTCGACATGTGAATTAGTGCATACTCGTAGGGTGCGTTCTGACAAAATAAGTACATGTAATGTTAAGAGTGACCAATCTTAAGACGAGCCATGTGCTGGGAAAAACAATGTATCTACTTATCTAATTATAACCGTGGTATTTCGTGATAAATAATATGATACATTTATGATTCCTTTATTGTATCACCGGTATTAGCGGACACACATTTTAGCGTATTATCAAAGTTGAACAGTTTAGCGCGTTGATGAGTTGGCGAGCTCACAATATCACATTATACTGATAACTGGTGAACCAGTTGCTATTATCCTAAATAATAAATGTTAAGCAGGGAAGAACAGCTACTATTTTAAGGACTTTGGTATGTACCGGCCATGGGACAAATCCCATTGCCTCTCTCACCTTGGCGAACGTTCAACATTAAATCCATAAGAGAGATGTTGACAAGCAAGATGCTACGAGATAAAAGGTAGTTAGAAGAAGAGGTAAATAAAAACAAATCCCAACTATTACAATGGGTGCAGTACATTTATGGGGATTTATATTTTCAAGAACTTCAATTAGATGTGCACGAACGGTTTTCAGTACTAACCTGGATGTCCTGTCTTCTAACAGAATGTCCGTCACATTGTTTTCTTTCAGAGGATCCTTTGATACCTTCAAGGCTACGGTCATCGGCGTTCTGGTAACCTTAAGCTTCGCTTTGTACACGTCTGCGAATGATCCACTTCCGAGGATATCAGCCTTGCTATACTCTACATCTCGCAACCGGAAGTCTCTTTCCATTATGGCGTGGACGAAGAACATATCAATCTGTCCTTGCAATGTAGAACTATGCCTGAGAAGTTGTGGGAAAACGTTTCGCAAATTGTCTTCCATGTTGTCCATTTCACTTGAAATTCTGTTGATGAGTTCTGTATCAGCCCTCACAAATTCAGGAATCATTTTGGCGATGTTATCGATACCCTTCACAAATTTTCCGATGAATCGTTTGAGCTTTTTCTTCAGGTCATCTTTCTCGAAGATGCTTTGGATGAACTTGTCCGTGGCATCGGTCATCTTTTGTCTTGCCGAGTCTGCCTTGTAACTTCTGAAGATAGATTTAACTGTCTTTTCCGGACCAATGGACCCTACACTGCTGACGACCCCGCCTAGCCCTTTTACATTACTCTCATCGTCGTCGCCGGCTTTTGCCTTCTTCCAAATCTGTCTGACAGGGGCCTGCCTCTTCATGGATTTGTGGAGATCAGTTACAGCTCGAGTGTCACCATCCAGCAATACGCCTACATAAGGAAGAAATAAAAACACTCATTTTCAGTGTCATTATCGATTGACCAATAAAAACGAAACAAGTTTTTTTTTACAAGGAATCCAATGGGAAAAATGGGTTCATGTGAAAGACGAATGGCACGTCACTGTATACAAATAGGTAGACAGAAATTCTAACGGCTCTTCTTTGATTTGTTGCTGTCTTACTTACCTTGTAAATCGCAGCTTACAGATCATAACATGAATATATCAGATTACGTATTTTACTTACCTTCAATTTGTTGAATTTGATTCTCCATCAGTTCGAAGTCTTTCTTGAATTTCTTGATGATTTTTTCTTTGATGGTAGCAGTGATCTTTTTGTTTTTTTCCCAAATGTTGATTTCTGACGCGAGACGACTTGCAATACGTTCGCTAGCTTCTGAAGCAGTTCTATTCCACTCCTTATTAACCCGAGCGCAATCACGTTCCGCCCACTGGAACATTCTGTCAACAAATTGTTTGGATCTAAGATAGTTGGCTGTTTCTGTGTAGAGCCTGTCGACCTCATCATCAAGTTCTTTTCGAAGTTCACCAACACTGTACCTTGCTTCTCGTTCTAGCTTTTCCATCTGGCGTTTGATCAATTCAATACGCTCCTTCTGTTTTTCCATTCCTTGAACTGCCATGACCTTTGCGACTTTCACGGAGTACAAGGAACGCTTAAGAACTTGGGACATAAATCTGAAACATTAAGAAACAAAAGTGAATTTTACAGCAAACTGACAGACACTGTTTACCTCGGATGAACTTAAACACTATGCTAAATCATTATTTAAAAAAAAAATCCGAACAATGATTTTTCCTTAAATGCATGATATTGTGAATTTGTGTTTTTTTTGTGAAAAGTTGTGTTTGTTTGTTATGTTTAAACTGTCCAGCACATCAGCAACATTAAATATCTACCCGACTGAAATAAAGAATTTCGGTATTTTTTTCTGCATGCAATAATCTCCCATTAATTTCGTTTTTGATATTGATGTAACAGATGTACATCTTTGCCAGAGGGATCCACTCTTGACAAGGTAGTTCAGTTCGTTAAAGTACCAGTATTGAGATCGTAGGTCGAATCCCGCTCAGACCTTGTGGCATTTCGATTCTCAGAACGCTTTTGTTAATTGGGTTTGTTTCTACATTTTCTCTTTTTTATTCGATTTCTCAAGGTATGGGTTTGCCGTATTAGTAAAAAGGGTACAGCTCGTAGCTACAATTTTTGGCAGTTGTACGGGGATCCTTAATTTAAAAAAAAAAGTTTAACCTGTAGGCGTGTTTTGTTACTTCATTGTGACAAGTACCTAAATTACAAGAAAGAGCACGTGTCTATTCACTTCTACGTGTGTATGCATAGTTATCCACGTGTCCTTACAGTTATACACGAGGTTATCCACTTATGTGTATATATAGTTATCCACGTGTCCTTACAGTTATACACGAGGTTATTCACTTATGTGTGTTTATCCTTATCCACGTGCCCTTACAGTTATTCACGAGATTATCCACTTATGTGTATATATAGTTATCCACGTGTCCTTACAGTTATACACGAGGTTATTCACTTATGTGTGTTTATCATTATCCACGTGTCCTTACAGTTATTCACGAGGTTATTCACTTATGTGTATATACAGTTTTCGACGTGTCCTTACAGTTAAATATGAGGTTATTTACTTTTGTGTATATATATTTTGCCACGTGTACACACAGTTAAATACGAGGTTATTCGCTTTTGTGTATAAATAGTTATCCACGTGTCCTTACAGTTAAATACGAGACTATCCACTTATGGGTATATATAGTTATCCACGTGTCCTTAAAGTTAAATACGAGATTATCCACTTATGGGTATATATAGTTATCCACGTGTCCTTAAAGTTAAATACGAGATTATCCACTTATGGGTATATATAGTTATCCACGTGTCCTTATAGCTAAATACGATGTTATTCACTTATGTGTATATATAGTTATCCTCGTGTCCTTACAGTTAAATACGAGATTATCCACTTATGGGTATATATAGTTATCCACGTGTCCTTAAAGTTAAATACGAGATTATCCACTTATGGGTATATATAGTTATCCACATGTCCTTATAGTTAAATAAGATGTTATTCACTTATGTGTATATATAGTTATCCTCGTGTCCTTACAGTTAAATACGAGATTATCCACTTATGGGTATATATAGTTATCCACGTGTCCTTATAGTTAAATACGATGTTATTCACTTATGTGTATATATAGTTATCCACGTGTCTTTACAGTTAAATACGAGATTATCCACTTATGGGTATATATAGTTATCCACATGTCCTTATAGTTAAATAAGATGTTATTCACTTATGTGTATATATAGTTATCCACGTGTCTTTACAGTTAAATACGAGATTATCCACTTATGGGTATATATAGTTATCCACGTGTCCTTACAGTTAAATACGAGGTTATTCACTTTGGTGTATATATATTTTGCCACGTGTCCTTACAGTTAAATACGAGGTTATTCATGTATGCGTGTATATATAGTTTGCCACGTGTCCTTATAGTTAAATACGAGGTTATTCACTTATGGGTTTATATAGTTATCCACGTGTCCTAATAGTTAAATACGAGGTTATTCACTTTTGGGTATATATAGTTATCCACGTATCCTTGTAGTTAAATACGCAATTATTCACTTTTGGGTATATATAGTTATCCACGTACCCTTACAGTTATACACGAGGTTATTCCCTTATGTGTATATATAATTACATGCATCCACGTGTCCTTATAGTTAAATAAGAGATTATTCACTTATGGGTATATCTAGTTATCCACGTGTTCTTACAGTTATACTCGAGTTTTATTCACTCATACATGTACATATGCAGCTAACCGTGTGTTTTACACGTGCCATCATATTCATGCACGTGTGCAATATATATATTCATACCTGTAGTGAATGTTCAGCTTGTTCCTCAAGCTGGCTGGGAGAAACCGTTCCATTCCCTGTAGCATTTCCACGTGCGGAGCTGACATTCCACCGTAAATAGCTGCTTTCTGTGACTATGGTTAGAAACAAATGTACCATTACAGATGAACTCTTGACTATGGGTTTAAATAATGACAAAATTATAACTGGTTTCCGGAACTATGGGTTTAAACAAAGACAAAATTATAACTGGTTTCCGGAACTATGGGTTTAAACAAAGATAAAATTATAACTGACTACTGGTTGAAACAAAGATACCATTACAAATGAACTCTGGGACTATGGATTTAAACAAAATTAAATTAACACCTGGTTCCGGGACTACATGTTTTAAAACAAAGATAAACTAACACCTGGTTCCGGGACTACATGTTTAAAACAAAGATAAACTAACACCTGGTTCCCGGACTACATGTTTAAAACAAAGATACCATTACAAATGAACTCTGCGACTATGGGTTTAAACAAAGATAAACTAACTGCTTTCTGAGACAACGTGTGAAGCAAATATCAAATAACAAAATTTCTGTTAAACTATGGATCGAAATAATGAAGTACATTATATGTAACTGACGTCTTGTGACTATAGGTTAAAACGGGGACTATGGATCGAAATAATGAAGTAACTGACGTCTTGTGACTATAGGTTAAAACTATAACTCGTTTCGGGGTCTATGGATCGAAATAATGAAGTAACTGACGTCTTGTGACTATAGGTTAAAACTATAATTGGTGTCGGGAAGTAACTGACGTCTTGTGACTATAGGTTAAAACTATAATTGGTTTCGGGGAGAATGGGTTGAAATAAAGACCTATTCTTCTTTACTGTTATTTTAAATTTATTAATTCATTTATGTTTTTTAAAGTTTATTTAAGTTTTAATGTTTTCTCATTTTATTTATTTAGAATAATTATTAAGTTCATAGAGTAAGAATTATTATTGAAAGGATAAACCTCTCCAAACTGACAGTTATTACATAAACATTATTTCTAGCTTTTGAATATACCAAACGTTTCGACATTTACCATTATGTTAAGTTTTTGAATATGTGTTGAATATTCAAACGCTATCATTTTGCTAAACTATTTTGTATTTGGGTTAAGAAAAAAAATATGTTTTTGTTTTTTGTTAAAAAGTATCGAAGAAATCAACAAAAATAAATCCCCCATATATTTAAAAACAAATGTAGGTGACATATGGAATAAAAGGAGCACCTACATCAGTGACAGAGATATAGTATATCTGGTCCCTCCGAAGTCCGGGGTAGCAGGTTTCCAGTTTGGTGAAGATGCCGTTCTCGACCTCGGCTTTGTCTCTATCGGGAACCTGGTCCCACTTATTACCAATAAACATTGTGGACGCGGGGTTAAAGTCATCATCAGCAGCATTCACCACCATTCTCAGGAAGTCACGTAACTATACAGGTACACAAAATACGGTTAGCTTACTGAATTCAGCGGATACACATTTTAGTGTTCGGAATAAGATTCGTCAGGTTGGCATGGATAAGTTTGGCCATTACGTTAAATCTAAGTGTATTATCGAATTTGAACTTTTTAATTTTGAAATTTGAATTCGAATTAGCGCGTTGATGAATTGACACGCTTACTATATATGCGATAGCTAGCTTTACACAAAAACTCCAATCATAAACTCGATATTTTAGAGTTTTGGATAGTAATGTAGTAATGTTACTTTATCACCATAAATGTATCTCCATTTGTTATTTAATATAAAAGCTCACCCTTCCTTTCTGAACTCCTCCGGCGTTAGCGGTGTTTAGTATGTAGATGAACCCGAATGATTTGGTAAGGTATCGTTCCACTAATTTGGTCATCTGTCTTTTTTCTCCTATTCCAGGAGTGTCTACAAGGACGATGCCATCCTGAAAACCATCATAATAAAATTATCTTTAAGAAGATATAAGGTCAATTAATGCTTTGCTTGAACTGCTAAACTCGCAATTTATTTCATTTTAAGTCTTATCAAATGGAGATCGATTTCATGTCATTTCAAAGGGACATGAAGTCTACTTTTTCGACAGAATTTACCCGTCCCTCAAAGCTGCATATAAATAAGAACTTTTGTTGAAGTGTTGAAGTTGATATAAATACGTACGAAAGTGGTTCGCCTCCGTCAATATCACTTTTTAGACCTATTTACATAACCACATACAGGTACGTATTCACCTATATATAAGGCCTTCAATTGTTAAATGAGAAATAAAATTGTTTTTTCTATCTTTATGATTGAACGTATGAAAGCAGAGAGCAGTGGACGTTACAATTGAATTGATATTATAATACGAATTGTGACCTGCTGGGTTTTTTTTATAAAATACCGAATCAATATAATTTATTATCGACCCTTAATGACTATGAGTTCCATCCGATGGTGATGAAGTCTATATATGAAATGATAAATTCAAGAAAAAAAAGAAAAAAACAATGACGAAATCCGGGATAATTATTTACTTTCAGGAGTAAATACATTTATGTATCGACAGAAAGTAAATGGTAGAATTGTTTTTATTAAAGACAAACACTATTTTAAGGAGTAAGATTTAAACCATAGGTATACTTCTAGAAACATCAAGTTAATAAAAAATCGTATTGACATGCACATCGCGATTAAGGTCAAGGCTCTTTTACAGAGCGATTATAACACATAAACAATATCAACAATATATAGAATATGTTAAATCATATCTTACTTCGAGTCCAGGAAAGGGCCACGTGATCTCGATTCTTTCGTATGGGGTTTCCCCATCCTCCTCGAAACACATTTTCGCTTGGATCTCGCGTATAGTATTTTCGCTGTCAAGCAGCAGCTCGTTGGGTGGTCTCGGTTTCCGCTCGCCTTCCTGAAGTTTGTAATATAGTCTTGCCGTCTTTTTCCCGTCCAAACTTTTCCTCAGTTCTACAATAGTCGTTGTACACCTCAGCTGTTTCGTTGGCAGTAAATCGACCTGCAGAATAAGATTGATGAAACTGCTTTTTCCCGCACCTGTTTCACCTGCAAACCACCAAACATATTTTATTATACATGCTACAGCTGGTGGATATTGTTGTCAGCACAGGCAATATAGCTAAACATAGGACAGCGTTGTGAATATTGGTGTCAACACTGACAATATAGGCGTACCTATCTCAGTGGTGTGGATGTTTTTTGTCAAAACTGACATGACAGCTGCATTTAAAACAGTGTATGGATATTTATGTCAACATCTTCAATGTAGCTGAAACAGAAACAGTGGCAATATAGCTGTAACATTTTGCCTGTGTTGTTGATATTTTTGAATATCTTAAGTGCATTTTCTATTTAGCATCTTACTGAATTACTTAAATTCGCAAAGAAACATATTTGAAAATATCCATTTCGTTTTATCTAGGTGTGTGTCTCTGCTGTTAAAAATTCTATCACAATATGGCATTGTGTTTTCCATATCATTTTAGCCCAATATATGAAGTCAACGTTATAGGGACAAATATGCAATTTACATAATTCTTAACAACTCCTCATACATATTTCTACATGTAATGCAGATTGGCCTTTCAGAAATCTTTCAGTATTTTTTTCTAAGTTTGACCTAATAACACAACTGATTTATGACGTAATGGATTTTATTGTAATTAGTTCAATATTTACACATGGGAAATCAATTGGGTCTGGTGAGAATAAAAAACGGTATTAAGATGGGTGCCAATTAGGGACTAGAAATGACGATCACCGGTAAGCTTTATATAAATGTAAATTCATTCAAACAATGAAACGGATAGGTGATAGCTACCAGGAGTCCTAAATTGGCAGCCATTCTTTGTTTATTTCCAGACAGCTTACCAGCGATAAGGACAGTGCAATCTGGTGAAATTACGTCTCGTTTCTTATCATCGATGGTCTTTTGGAGATTAGGAAAGACACCTTCCAGGTCCCTTCGATAGTTGTTGGGAAGAGAACTGATATACTCCAGTAATTGATCATAGAAAGCTCTGAGTCGTTTCCTGTATTGAACGTCATCAGCAATGGCGTCGTAGAGTCCATTGCGATCCTATAGGAGAAAAATGGGATAAAATGAATTGGAGATATTCTAAGTAACATTATCTACACTATCATAATAGTGTTATACTTTCCACATCAATCCAGATCCTTTCATAATTTAACGACAAAAACACGTCCTGTTCACCAGCTCAAATAAATTACCATGACCCACTGTTAATGATACATGGTTCACATCTGTTCAAAACTTAAAACGCCTGGTCTTTGAAGTTTATAACCACGCTCTGTACAAGACCAGCTATTTGTTTTTTTTATAAATTTAGGATGAAGGTTAAATACAGGTTATTATCAGATCAAACGTTCCAGAAAGGGTCATGTAATTGGACAAGAAGTTACTTTTCTTTTAAAGGGTTACCTTGACCTACTTTGAGGATAACAACAGGTTCAATGCTTCTGGTATACAGCCGTAATATTGGGACACCTAAACAACATGGAGCTTACAGATCACAGAAAGAGTTAATTGGTAAATCTCATTTAAGGGTCCCCGTATCACTGCCAAAATATTTTATTATGCAGTGGAAACAAACATTCCCAGCTTGACTATAACTTTTATAAAACATTTCTGAAAAGACAACCTTACCTTCCGTGACTTTTATGAAATAAAATAGAGATTAACTCAGCAATAAAACAATAGACAACATATTCTGATGGGAACAAAACAGTGTGACCAAATACTGTCGCTCTAACTGAATGAGCTGTCTGGTCAACGGAAGTGCTCCAGCCTATCTACGCTCCAGCTATATCTCCAAAACGAAATTAAGGGGAGGTTACTCTATAAACGAAAAGCAGAGAAACAGTTGGACAAGGATCCTTAATCTTCAATAAAGTGTCCTTGGCTAACAAATGATTCAGGTGAAAGATTAAGGCCCCTTTTGCCTGTTTGTGTAATCTTTTGCACGACTGAGGACTTCATGTGTACTTGTAGATTTTTAAATTCCTCGCAACAGGCAAGGACATAAATTCAAGAAAAAAAAGAATAGGGAGGTAAAAATGTCCCTCCGAAAGTAAAGAGTACGGACGCCAGAGCACAACACATTGCTGTTTATAAGCAGGAGAAACTGAAGAAAACTCCCAATTCTGCAGGGGCCTCAAATATTTCGCCGGCTATTAAGACATGCACTAGGGTTACAGCAGGCCTAGTCTTGTCCGAACCTTTCATGGTCAACCGATGAGACATGCATATGCGTCTTTTACTTATATGTTAAGATACCTTAAGGTACATATATATATTCATTTTTAAACATTAATGAAACCGAATTCTACTCTTTCAAAGCCATAATGAAACGAAAACATTAATTTACTGCACAGGTAACTTTTGTTGAATTCAAAGCAGATGATGATGTAGATAAGACGAAACCTGAATATCTTTCAATCAATCAAAAATGTCCTACAATCTTTACGCTAAGATATGTCTTGACTGAGTTTTATTTAAGATACCTGCCCACACACAACAGTATTCTGTATTTGCTGCTAACAATTAAGGTTTGTGTTGTCCTGTTGATATGTAAATGATTGCATGTCCCCTATGAAAAGTTGACTGCTGGAGAAGATCGTTTCACCTGAAATGTCAATTACAAACGTAAGCCATCGTTTGACAGTCCAGCAATGACATGCCATGCTATCGCGGCAACGCCACCTATGTACGGTAACACAACCACTGCATTGCGATTGGCTGGGTAGATATTTGAAAAGAACAGAAAAAAAAAGAGAAAAATGGGTCAAGGCAAAAGGTTACTCGCCTTTGAACATGAGTTGCTTTACGTATGTTCATCCTAGCATACATTGACATGATCCTGTTTCTCTGTAATCGTCTTCAGCTTTGCATTAGTATCAACTCTCGTTTTACACGACCGACTCAATTTTATAATGTAGTAAGCCACAAACGTAGAGACCCAATTAACTCGTAAATTAATCATTATGCTGACGCATGAAATAATTTTGTTTTGCATGCCTCCACTAGAGGTCAAACCCGGGACCTCTGGCATACTAGTCTTTCGCTCTACCGAATGAGCTAAAGATACCTTTTCCCTAATCGAGTCGGTAGGAAGCGGCTATTTGTACCGGTGTGACATGCTCCCCCTCAAGGAAAGAACTATTCCTGAGTCTACGAGGGTCAAAGCGATTCTTGTAAACGTATCGCTGAGTAATTTTGTCAATATTTCTCGTGCCCCTACGTGGGCGTCAATGTAACAGAGGTCATTATTATTATTTTAAATTCCCCCGTTAGAATCGTTGTAGCCCACGCTAACAGAGAAATACGCCATCGTCAATGTTGGCCGACCGAAGCTCATTCATCTACCACTAGCTTGCTTTTCAGTATTTTATCGAGATCGTATTTCAAATCAAGTGTAATTATCCTCACATTATGCAATCCAATTATAGTGGGTTTGTCAGAGTTTCTATGTACTTACACAATGTGAACGTAGGCAATATCCGCGGGTAGTCGGATCACGTATTAAATATATTTAATGCCGTTTGATAGGACGTTAATACTTGTGCCTGTCTATCTGTACCAAAAGCATTGTGGGCACGCATTGTAAACTTAACGTTACGTAGCCTTGTATGTTTATATACATTAATTTTTATTGTATATACGTTTAGGCTGACACCTCACGTCAATATTTACTGTTACTAAAAGCCAAAATGTATGTCAGTTATCTTTGGTCTACTGTATATATTACCAAAGTTGTAATCGAATATGTGCGCCTTACGCTCATCTTTCCGTGGTGTGGGTTGATATTTCGTTTCAGAAAACCAACAGAAATAAAAACAAATGCACTACATTATAATAGTATCGTCGTCGGTATATATTTTGACGTATTTAGATGTACGGAATAAAGCTAATCAATAGATTAGGGTGTAAAGCAGAGACATTGATTGCTCAAAAATAAAAGAGTTACAAAATTCTAAACATTCATAGTGATAGTGCTCATAAGGTTTAAATCAATAAACGAACATATGTAACAACACTAATTATTTGTATACGCAATACCACGAATCCCCTAAAAATAAGCGGAAAAGCGATAAGTGATGAAATTTAAACTTGTATTCATATTCCGTTGGTCAAAAGAAATACACGCAAACGCAAAGCTATTTGATTCCGTAATAGTAAATTAAATTCTTACAATTTTAAACCCGCATTTATTCAGTGATAAGCGTATTATATATTTAATTTTAGACGGGTAGTAATCAGTATGCATATCTTTATTACTTTTTTTTTTATTTATTTACTTGTGTGATTGAATGCTGAAAAGCAGGAGTGTCGGCGGTGATTGCGAAGCGGTTGCCATTAGCGAATCTGTTTGTTAATGTCAGTGAAGCGGAATAAAAGAAAAACAATAAGGATTGAATATCATCAAAATATACATAGGCATGATGATTATTCTGTCATTGCGTATCGCAGAGTTATCTGCTCTTGTGAGCAGGTATGGATTGTTACGTCATTTTTTTGTGTGAGTAACGTCATCAATTTTTGAGAAAACGATGTAATTTTCTCACACAAACCAATGACGTAACAATCAATACCTGCTCACTAGAGAAGATAACTCTGCAATACTCAAAGACGGAATATAGTGGCCTACTGCATTGAATGGAATCAATGTGGAAGGAATAAACCTGATTTATACCACAGCATGTTGTTTTATTTGGTATGTTATGTGGAGCTATCTGTAGATTCCAGTGTTTTCTTCTGTGTCTTCTGCTTAAGGAATATTAAAAACAATACCCGAATTGCTACCTCATTTGGAACCTCTGTCTTTCCTTTCTTACCTTCTCTTCCTTTTAAGTAAAGTCTCCCTATCTACTAGTATTTTCTATGGCGTTTATCGTTGCTATGACGTTAAAACCCTTAATTAACTGACCATGTTCCTACATAAATATGAGAAGGAGACTCATAAAACAGTGTGATAAATATGGAGAAATCAAACACTCAAAATAAATACAAAATATCAACGTAGTACCAGCGTAGGCATCGAATCAAATGAAAACAAATTTTATCACAAAAATAAAATGGAAGGAAGAGTCAGGTAATTTCTTAAATATCCCTCTCCCACTGTAAACTAAACACTGGATAATTGCAATGTAGTTTTAAATACATGCATCAACCGCCCATCTGTTTTGTTAAGTATAGAACTGTAGTAGACTAGGTCAGGGAAGTACCATTGATCAGGATCCTTGTCTTACTGCACTGTGTTTTATATATAAACAGTGGTACGGGGATCCTTAACCTAATTAGTTAGAGCAATCCTTTTGTTACCGAAGGTCCATGGTTGAAACCGTTGCATTTTCACTCTTAATCTTAGTCTTTTTCGTCGTGAAATATTGACATTATTCTTGGAACCTGTTTAATGAAATATTCTGGAATGAAAATCTACACTAACCCATTTTTGTCCCTTTACATGAAATCCCCCTGACGAACGTGACTACTTTATTGAACAAATTTCCAGTTTTTCATTCGTAAAATATCCAGCCTGTCCTTCTCAGGGGATTTTTTTATCTGTCACAGTTGAGACGCTTCTCCAGGGACTATTATTAAACTTCCTGGATGCATGCTTCCTATTACAAAAATACCAGTAAGCCGAGCTGTTCTACCTGGATGAATTTAAACTTACCTTGAAACGTTATTTTACGGTAGAACCAATAATTTGTTCACAGCTATGTCGTGTCTTAGTTACAGGGAGGGGAGGGGGTAAGTAAATATTAGCACTGCTTCAGTAAGATGTATCATAGTCCCCAGGATTGTACGACAAATGTCATGACGGATAACATAGATGAAGCAGAAAACACTTGCGAAACATATATTTTCAGATTGTCTTTAGGCTTGGGACAATGCTACACCTGCTGTTTCCCGCGACTTCTACGACGCCACTATTGTGTCTGCCTCCCTGTAGATTTAGGTTTGTTATCTGTATTATATTGAAGAAAGCTAAATTGATAGTTTGTCCCCATTGCAACAATGAGGATCATTAGCCTTTCTGTATCACTTCCCTTCTCTTTCGTTAAGGTATTGACTCCCTAGGTACCCTTCTTCATAAGAACTTAGCAGACAAAATCGTTCAAGAATTTAATGTTGAATTTTCTTTTGTGTTGTCGTCTCAGCGGTTTCTAATCATGACTATTACGAAAATAATTCAATGCAGACTGATGCATTCCTGGAAATACCTTAATTGATTAAAAGGACGCATAAAGTTCATATATGAACATTGTATATTTCGTTAAATATCGCTTTTAACCTAATAAACCGAAAGGAGGGGATAAGACGGAACAAATATTGGCTGGACAAATGTGTAAATATGAGGTACCAGAAGAATAGCAATATAAGTAGAATTCGAACGGCAACGTGAATATATTTTTATCCTATGTGTACATACTTTATAAGAGAAATTGTTAATGATGGAAAAAACAATATTGCTGTTTAGTGTTATTACTTACAAAATTTATAAAACCGGACTTCAGCTTAGTGTGACAAGTCTAAAGTCCATATTTTACTTTTTCTAAAAGCATATGCTGCTACTTGATACCTCGATAAAACGAACGCCTATAAAACTAAACCCAACAATCCTCTGTGTGCTCTAAAGCGTTTCACATTATTTTGCTATTTTATGATACAAGTTGTGGATTGTTCATGTTGGCGAGCCAGTGATGTATACGTATATAATACATATATGCTTTATATGTCTCTGGGCAAGCAAATATGAAAAGTCCAAAACGAGTATCATATTATTAAATCTAATATGAAGCGAAACTAATGACAGGTTCTTTTTATCATACAATACAAAGGAAACTGTATAACTGTGATCTGAAACGAATATATTGCACTTTGCCGCCTCTGAAACGATGACAATTGCGTCCGCTTCACAATGACATGACGTTACATTGATTGCTCCTATTCGATTGTGACGTCATTTCCGGAGTGACATTACACACGTTACATAATTTATAGGATTGCCTTATGTCACTATATAACACGATTTTCATATATATATATGTATATATATTTATATATAGGCTAAGGGTAATAACGACAATGCAGACAAAGAACACATTTCTTTGGCTGCACAGTCGTTATTAATTCTTTGCCCTTTTTTCTATGTAAGCAATACGCAACGACTCAACATTTGGCTGTCCGAAACCAGTGCCCATATTAGATCATTCTGTCGTTGATACCTATGAGACATATTTACTTCATATACATGCGATTGTCGAGATACGTCAAACTGTGTTCTGTTGATGTCTTAGTTTGTTAACCCTTTCACCTCTAGGTAGCTGGAGTAGACTCTACCATACCTTCTTATGGATGAGTCCATTATGGTCTTCAGTGGTGAAAGGGTTAAACGACCTAGCAACAGGTACGACCATAAGAGGACGGGTAACTAGGGAGACACCACCAAAAAGGGCGAGTAAAACACAGTAAGACACAAACAGTGTGCAACTGTTTTTCCATGGGTACTATCAAAAAGTTAAGCAAAATTTATTGTATTCTGTAAACGTCTCTCTGAGGTACGCTGTTTTTTTCTTTTCGGTTGACAAGTGTTACATGACATTGCGCAAATATTGCATGTCAGTTGTGTTTTAAACATTTTAATTTCGACTGTTATAATATACATCTACATCAGCTTTACCGTGTGTTAAAGAAAACGCTATTTACATGTTAAAATTCATCTCATATTGAAACAAAATAAAATTGTATATGCATCAATATTCAAACTTAAAAGAAATACAACAAATAATGTGACAGCTTCTATGAGAAGCGCGGACGTTTATCTTTCTGACACACCCAATGATGACAATAGTGACATAGCTTTTACAACAGTTATAAAACAGGGTTTCCAAGCAGCCGGAGAACACTCACGTGGTCGGTCAGGTGACTAGATACCTGATCACATCTGACTGGCGAATAATACCTGAGCCTTCTCGGTTTTATAAAGCTATCGATGCAAAGCTAGACTTTTTTTAAGAACATGGATACTTAAAGTTTAGATCGCAATCAAACTGATTGTTATATACTAGTATATAGTTTGAATCAGTTTTGGTTTTGGTTCATCAGGTTAATTCAAAAATTGTGATACAGACCTATCTAGCAACAGAAATTCATATCGTTGAACGTTCTGGTCCATTGCACAGAAGCTTTAAAACCAGTCTGACTATACTCAAAGGAACGTTTAATCTTGAATATAGTTTAAAGAGCCTTGCATACATTGTGCACATAGTGCCGGAATAAAGGTAAATATTTAAGCATTTCATTATAAGGGTTAAATCAATATGTCGTGTATTATTTAAGCAGGTAGTACCAGTGTATATTGTACGTATACCCCCAAAATCAATTACTGTCAATGCGCAATTTTGTCTGAAAGTTCTATCGCTAAACCAGGAAGTAGTTCTGCTTCTGTTATAGCAGTGTTTATATATAGACATTACAGAGGTAATTTTTAATTTCAGTGGAGAATTCATGAAAAATTAAATATTTCAAAAATATCATAGGCGACTTATTTTATGCTGAATGGTATCTTTCTAACGTTATTCCGTATTCCGAAGCTCTTGTATGTTGGCTTCCTGGAAGCCGTAACACATTTGATCACGTCATTTCATAGAATGCAAAAGTTAACAATCTCAATTACAATTAATAAAATGAAATCTTAGATTTAAATATTTTTCTACTTTATTTTAAATTTCCTTTCGGGTTCGGTTCGTTTGATGCGGGTCTAATTTGCGATATTTAAAAAACTTTTTTTTTTTTGGCCAATAATGAGCAAGTTTACGTTTAGGATAAAGTTCAAAGGTTAAAGCGAAAACTGAAACAAAACATGCAGCTCTTAATAAAATGTAGGTATCCAGGTAAAGCGCAACGAAAAATGCGCGCGTGAATAACTGGAAATTTAGGAATGCAAGGAAAAGTATACCATTGCAAAAAATGCCGTTTCGATATTCTCTTTCACTTTGTACTCTTATGCCGTCTCGAGCTTCATTAGTTTGTCTGATTGAAACCAGCATCCTTGACTGTTACTGATGTATGACTTACACTCCCTTGTTGCTATGAATGATTTAGTTTTGCCATTTACAGAATAATACGGAGCGTCGCGGTACCACCCGTAGTATATGTGTTACACACGAGCACGTGACCGAGTATGTAGGGGAGTAATAACGTGAACGGGTATACACATTTAACAGCTGTCCTTTATGAACAATGTGATCACTACCAATTACTGACGCCAGGTAATGAGACATGGTGTATACAGAAAGACAATGTCAAGGATACAACTATCCTGAATAGAACATGACTGTTGGTGCTATTTCAAGGAAAATCGAAAATTGAACATCTGGAAACTACAGAAACTAAAACGCCTTGCCCATATTACAATGTTTTTTTCTTTCCTTCTTTCTCCTCATTTTCTTTTCATTTTTTTCTGGTTCTCGGTCTTTGCTCTTCCATCTCTCTTCCATCTCTCTCTCTCTCTCTCTCTCTCTCTCTCTCTCTCTCTCTCTCTCTCTCTCTCTCTCTCTTTTTCATTCTTTCCTCTTTTCTCCTTCTTTATTTTACATTTTACTTCCAATTTACCTTCTACTACCCAGTTGAATGTTTACAGGCCCGTCCTATGCATACATTCCTAGCCGTATTGACCCTTACCTTTTTCGGTGCTTCCGCCTGCAGTGTTGACTTATTCTTCTTCCAGTGGTCCATGATTATTTCTACGGCCATATCCTTACTCTTTAGGCCTTTGGTACCGAGACCCCAGCGCCTGAGTATTTCCATAGCAGTTCGCATGTCTGGAATTTTTAGAATATCGTCAACAGTACAAATCCTGTAAGATTCCCCGGAATTTGCCATCTTGCAATCCAATGTAGCGTTTTTACTACCGTTTCAATACAGCATCAATTACTATGTACGTATGATGGCGCATATAAAACGATCTAACACATGTCTTGAATGTTCAATGTACCCCGGGTTTTTTAATGTCAGCTCAGAACACAGTACGATGGTAAAGTGTGTGATCTCCTACCTGAAACTTTTAAACTTCCTTGTCTACACACCTATGATTTGCATAGCAGGTTCGTGCTAACACAAACAGACAACGTCATCGCCGCATTGTCCTGCTGATCCAATCAGGATTCTACTATTACCGCTGTCAGGTAAGTATAGTCCATAATTAAATGTGGATTAAACGTATCACTGGTAACAAAAGTATTTTTGCTGGGAATACCTTGATGTCAGCATTAATGATAATTGTATTTAAGTATGCAGGGACTGCTTCTACTTCGCATAATCTAGCACCCCGCATACGACCTCAATCTGTAATTTAAACCCACCCATCCGTAGTGAACAGACAAAACACCGCTATCGCCTTACCGCATATTGACTAAGCCTATTACACTCACAAGCTTCAGAACTCACCTAAAGTAAACGTAGTGTTAGTTCTGCTACCCTTCGTGTAGTTTACACACACACACGACCACATGAATATACGTACCCGGAATTCTTAACCCGTTTGCTATAACTTAGTAGGTGAAGCGAGACATATCGCCATGTTTATTCCGTTGACACACTTCGACACCGAGTTGCTTCAATATGGACCCATGCTTCAAAGAGTGAACAATAATAGATAGTGATAAATAAGATATAAGTTATTTCCAGAACCATCGGTTATGCGGGTAGTCGGTAAACTATTGTGCTAAGGTGATATTGGAAAGACAGTGTGTTTGATACTTCCGGTTTGTTTATTTCATGGGAAAGATTCTCCGTGGTGAATTCAATATATTCCCAAGAAGTAGGTGTGTCGGATTATTCTGTGACGTTAAAAAATAGGTATGACAACATGATTACAAAAATAACCATATCTAAGGTAGGGGATACTGAGATGAACTATGCTTGATGCTGCTGAAGACATATGTGTTAATAGTAATGACAAGCTTGTTATTTTAGCTGGGTGCTTACCTCAACACATTTAAAATTTAACTACATATACTGCAGAAATGACATCTGTAGCGGTACGTCACCATCCTTGGTCGACTTCGAGCGCCAGCAGTGTTTGCAGCGTGTCTGATGAGGACATTAAAAAGGTAGAGGACTTTGACGAAATTTTCGACTTATCCGAACTAATGGGGGTCGATTTAGGAGGCCTAGACGAAATCGAGGATATGAAGGAGAGGCTTCAAATGCACTTGAGAAAGAACGAAAATGGCGATATCAAAGCAGTTGTAAGTAAAATTATTTGAAATTTGTTTATAAAAAAGTTGAAAACCTTTTAACACAAAGGGACGTAATGCATGGATAACGATTCAAAGAAAGTCGTATTTCTCTGTGTCGTTATTGGAGTCATACCTGTAACTTAGTATTATTCTGGCGCTATGAATGTTCCGAATACTCTTCTGTTTTCATTTGCGTAAATGTTATACTTTTATGTGTATATCATATGTTTATATCATTCACGTATAATCATGTTTTTATACAGGTGTAAAGAAATAATATTTACGAGATAGTTTCTGCGTATTGTGGGTGTGCATTGATTGCATTCTATCATGTTTTGATAGTATTGCCACGTCTCCTCTATACCAATATGAACCACTGGAATGAAAAAATTGTAAGAAAGAAATATGTTATCAATATCTGCATGATAGATTATGAAATCAGACATGGTAATCTCTTCTTGGGCAAACAAAATAGTGCAGTTTGGTTTGCTCTGGGTTGTTAGTGGTTTACGTCCTGTTAACAGCTATGGTCAATAAATAGTGTAGGTAGTGATGAGATGACATAATTGGTCATATGTTACTTACATAAGCTTACTGTCTTCAAACAGTGTACTCTACTGCATATCGTTCACACCTATCCGGACAGATTGGAATGATATGCGTTTGTGTACTATCAAATGGCAACACGCCGTAACCAACGGGCCAAATACAGTTCTAATTTATTTCCATGCACATATATACATATTTATCTATATAAACAGATTCTGTCTGATTGTCAACTTATGCGACGGTGAATCTGTACTCCATAAGTAAACGGTGAACATTTAACAAATTTACACATGTTTGTATCATGTGATTAAATAATGACTAGCCATTCGGTGAATGCATTCTATATATGTACTTCAGCGTTCAGTCTATATCGATTCATGGAAAAGGTGAACATTTTCATTGTATTTATCATGTGATTTAACTGTGAGTTTCAACTCAGTAAATACGTTTTACATGAATCAGAAATATTTATATCAACCTTGGTCAGTATTGTCATCAAATGAAAGCCACTTAGTTGGCAAAGGTTTCTTTTAAGTTTAGTTTTCCGTTCAAGCAACACAATGTTTCAGTTCTCTCAAAACATCAAGTTTCTTTGGTTTTGTTTATAAGATACAGCACAAAAGGAATCGGAAATACACTGATGACAATAAAGAAGCACAGTTTCCTTGTAGCTCAGTCGCTTTTATAACTTTCAAAAGCATTCTTGCTAAAATGTTTTGAAAGACACGCAGTATTTAAGACAGCAATGTATACATGTTTGAACAGCGAACATTACAAATGTCCCCATGTTTTATTTAAACATTGCAACAGTTGTAACACATCAACAAGTTAATTTTGTAAGTATAGGTATTCCTTAACTTATAACAGAACCATTTTTATTCAGGATTGCCAACGATCATTAACTTATATCATCATTATTCTGTTCTTTTGCCGTCTTTCTGGAACAATCAAATAACTTGTTTTTTATGAATAACTGTTAAATATGTAATCCTCAAAATTGCTTATAGGTGAATCAATTTTTTTCTTTCAATGTATCATTTCATCAATATCGTTACTCGAAACTGGTGCTAACAAAAACAAAGAACCGTGCAGGCACCAAAATGAAAGAAGGACATCATAAACCTTTTTTTTCAAATAGAGGCGAAATCGTGTGTTCCGGATTACAAAGGGTTTCCTGTATCGTCTGCGCAGTCTTTTTTTTTTGTATCGTTGCAAATGCAGGAAAGTAAATCCATTTCGTAGATAACAAACAATTGAAGATAGTCATGAAGATTTAAAGTATTTTTGAGCACAGAAACCGGATCATGAAACTTTTTATCCATGGGCGTGTGTCGTGTGAAAGAATTTAAAAGGACAACAAACAAGTAAAAAACATCTTTGAATCATCTAAAGCCAACCGGATTTAAAAGACACCTTAGCTAATGTGTGTCTCAACCTGTAAGGATAGATGCTTGTCTACTTTGTTTTTTCAGTGTTTAAAATTGGGTGGGCAAGACTACTTTATCATAAAGAAAATAACGTAACGATGATGTAGGTTTTCCCGCTTTTTATTGATGTTTACTTAGATAATTGCAAACAAATTTAAACAACAGCTTTCGTTGCAGTCATCCGTCACAAGTAAAATAGAAATGCGTTCACCATAGCTGAGTCAGAACACACCGACGCAACCTTCTCTCAGTCTGTCAATAACGAAAACTAATCCTGGAGACCATAAACCTTAAAAATAAAATCATGCAACTCAAGTATAGAAAGCAACCGCAAACAATATTTAGTGTGATCGGATGAGTGATATCTCTCACACCACATCTGATCCTCTAGTTTAATGTAACATAACATTGAATATTACATGTACATATCAAATTAGTTATACACATTAGTTATACACATCAAATGTTTATTTATTAATCAGTTATATACATTAGTTGTACTTTGTACATATCAAATCAGTTACACACATCAGTTGTACATATCGTATGAGTTATACACATCAGTTGTACATATCGTATGAGTTACACACATCAGTTGTACGGTACATATCAAATCAGTTATACGCATCAGTTGTACATATCGTATGAGGTATACACATCAGTTGTATATATCAAATCAGTTAAATTATACACATCAGTTGTACATGTCGTTTCAGTTATACACATCAGCTGTGCATTTCAAATCAGTTATACATACCAGCTGTACATATCGTAATAATTAAACACATGAGTTGTACATATCGAGTCAGTTGTACATATCAGTTGAAGAAATCAGTTGTACATAGCTATACACATCAGTGGTACTTGAATATGTAATTATGTATATGTATTAGTTTAAACGAAACACTTTTTCAAATCAATTTTACATGTGAATCATGCGTACGAAATATATACCAAATGTGAAAAAAACAGATATTAAATGTTCGATGTATCAGTCGTGCATGTCAGTCGAACTGCATGTTCCAGATGTGCATTTCAGTGCAATGTTTGTGGGTTGAAAATCAGTAGCTGATAAACCCCAAACCCTTTTTCATGTACACATGCAATACAGACGACAACATCACATATCAACTGTATTTGTCAGAATCACGACCCTCCAAAATAATCAAACATATCAATTGCATTGTTAATGCCGTTGCAATATAACCTTGAACACCCGGATATTCCTTACCTTATTTTTAGAAGTAGTAGTTGTATGGTTTGACAAATATCAAATCCTGGGTTAAGAAGATATTGTGATTCGGTATAAGCTGTGTGGGCGACTGTTTGTATGACTGTAGTTAGCAGATGTCATATCTCATTTTACATACTATTGGGTGAAATCTTGTTTCCAGGAACTACCCACACTTGACTGACAACCATACTGTACACACAGATGTAAACATCGTTTTCGAATTCGATGAATGGGGAACTTATCATGATGAAACTGACTAAATTCACATAACTTGGTACTCTATCAAACTCAAACATAGCACAAGTTAAAAAAAGAACGACTAATGAGTTATCATAAAGTGTGTTTAATGTTTTGATCCGGTGCTTATCGTAGTGTTGTTCTAGCCGGTATTCACTAGGTGTTTTAATTGCTTTAGCAAGAAATGGTCATGCTTTTTGTTATCAATTAATAGAAAGTAATTACAATAGCATGCACCTTCTGTGTCAAGTTCTTATACAGAAGGGTTTCCACTCAAATGTAGCTAGTTACATATATCGACTGAACATGTTTTTTCTGAATTTTCTCTTGAAATGAACGATTTTTGATACAGATAGGTAACACAATATCTTGGATATATCAGAAAGATTTAAATGAAGGATTTGTGCATACCTTTATAAATATATTTTTAAATTATAACGATACTTCAAACCAGTGCAAAGAGATCAATTTACAGGAATCACCATAAAGGTTGAGAGGATGTCGATGTTGCACTCCACCATAAGTTACTTGAATTTAAATATGGGCGTTCATCGAGGTTAATCCAGGTAGGTTTAACCTCACATAAAATAAACGCTTGAATGACGTGACAAAACAAGATCAGCAAAGAAAATGTCTAACTACTTGTTTACTGATAGATTATGTCACCCCGCTGACTTTATTTAAAAAAACTATTAAGGATCCCCGTTCCAATGACAAAAAAACACTGTTAAGCATTAAACATTTTCCGCATGACTAAAACTTTGAAAACTGAGTTCTTAAAAGAAAAATATCTTCAGTAACTTTTAATGAAATAAAAGATTTATGAAATATACAAATAGAAAATCGACAACACTGATCTCTTCGTGTAAACATGGAATAGGACCAGACGAGATTCGATCTCTTGACTGCGATATTTAAATTGTCCAACAGTGGAATTTAGTTGTTTGTCTACAGTGGGGCAAACATTCTTACGAGTCAAATTGGCTGGCTCGGGAGACGGCCGGATCACTGACACAATATGTTATAGTAAAACCACAATCTTGACCTCTAGTCCATTTTTTATTAACGTTACTTAACCTAACTAAACTCCTTTGCATAAACTTAGGAAGGTGCACATAAGACCCATACATGAGATTAGTTATATGAATTTCAAAAATAGGAGGACTACTGGTTAATTTGAAATTAATGACGAGTTAAGTGTTTATATTATGAACACTGTCACTACCTTAAAGATATAACAGTGGTCATCAAGGTAACAGTAAACCCCGCGGATGGTTAAAAAACACCATCAGAGTCTACCGCTTTGTATCTTAAGAGATAAATACAGTACACACGTGTGACTGTCAAATTTGGTGAGCAAAACAGTGTGTAAATTGAGTCCCCCTGTATGCATAGCTGTATCGGCCAAAGCATTGTTGGTATTCAGGGAAAATATTTGAAGTGAAAGAAGTTTTGAAATTATCAATATGCTTCCAATGGAAAAATTTAAGTTAATGAATATCTGATAGTAAAGGCAAGTTCGTGAAATTGCGTCTAGTGCCGTAAAACACTACATCTTTTAG